TTGAGGCTTGACGCATGTACAAATATTTTAATAAATGCCCACTTGATTTTACCATGCAGGTTTTTATTTTGCAGAGAGAAGACAAATATGTAATAATGGTAAATTTACAAACTCCATTGAAGGGGCAGTCTGACACTACTCAGAACCTGAAACCAAAGAGTGAGATTCTAGGACAATCCAAGCTAACCCTCAACATTCATGACAAGGACCCACAAGGAAAAATTTGGGTGTGTTAAAGCAGTAATTTCACAGGATTTGCTACTGTTCCTCTTACTAAAAGTTAAATTTTTAAGATGGAATCCTAAGAACTCCAAATGTTATCAACGTTCAATAAGCTCACACAAGGAATTTGATCTGTTTAAAACTCGAGTGCACAGTTAAATTCTAAAATCACTGTTTTCACAAGTCACAATTTTACGGGGACAAACCGAACACAAACTTTAAAAATGAAACCTCACTACCTGCAAATTACAATAGCTTTATCAAAGATCTAATGTTACATTGTCTGGTGATTTATACTTCTAAATGGTTAGTCAATTCAGCAGTTCAGACATAATTAAATTACACATATTCCATGGCTCTGTCCTCTTTACAGAAATTAATAGTTCCAGTAATGACAGAATAATCCTAACTTCTTCCTTTCAACAATAGCTATTCTTCTTTCTCAAGGCATCGCTCTCACCCACTCGTACCGTCCAGGGAGGGGTATGTCATTTGCAACATCAAAATTATACCTACACAACACCAATTACGGGAAAGTCAAGCTAAATTTTGACAAAATATAATCATTTCTATGGTTAAGCATGTGAATTTCGTACTTCTCCATAAAAAGACGCTGCTGCGACTGCTCAGCACGGGCAAAAAAATCCTCTATCTCAAGCGCTGCAGGAATATTTCTGAGAATGGCATTCCGGGACCTCTGAATAGCTGCCTCTGGACTCATCTGTCTCGTGGTCGAGCCAGGAGTCGAGACTGTGCCGGCAGCCCCAATCAAACTGCATGGAGTGCTTTCCCTAGTGCTCCTGCTGAAATGCAGAAACTGATTATAGCCAACATTATCACAACCCAACAAAACTAAACCCACTTGCAATGTGAATTTCAGGCAATGCAGAGGTCCACATGCAGAAAATAAGATTGCAGCACAAAGGGTAAAAGTGCAGGATCCAAGATACTCGCTCATGGATAAGTACAAAAACAGAGATATCACATACTTTTACAGTCGTAATCTACTGTGGAAGGCCCCGTGAAGAAGATAAATTATTGCAGTCACATGTATAGTAAAACAAAGTAGTATTTGCTAATTTCCTCAATAAAATGATTGAGTCGAATTCTAAACAGCCAGATTCACTATTTTTTTTTTTCACCAAAACTCGTGCTATCTAAGAGTGCAAATAGTCCTAGTAAACACAGTAGAAAACACTACTATGGTGTTCATCAGTACATTTAGGAATACAAAATTCAACCCATTTCTATTCAAAATTTGGTGCCAACCAGGTTCATGTATTTGACAATATTTACACAAGAAAATGTAAATGTACCAATAAAATCAATGAAGCAGTACTATTGGTGTAGGAAGGGGCAAAAATCAAGAACTACAATGATAACAAACTAAGCATCGACCAAACAAATTTGGGGTCGACTACATGATCCTTTCTTTCCAATCCCTTCAATTCATTACTAGATCTACAAGAAGATTTTGAAGTAATATTATTGTGGGCTTGCATGGAACTAAGGAATGTGTTTTTTGGTATTAATTTAAGGCTAGTGGGGCTGGCAGTGATGCAGATTATATATTTCATGAAAAAGAAACATCCAGTCACAAACGCTGGTTACCTTTTGTGAAAGCAGTTTTACACAGTTTCCACATCTGTCAAAACAGTGTGATGAATAAAAACTAACCTCAGTAGGTATTAAAGGCACTCAAACTGAAAGAAAAAAA